CTACGTCGTTGATTTTATTATCTTTGCCCTAAAAATGCTTTGTCCTTTCCTTATACCGTAGGATTGAATTGAGCCGTTCGAATATAGTAATATTTCAAAAGCTTTGCCCATTCTCTTTTGAAAATCTACTTCCTCAATACTCCTTCAATTCTAAGTTCTCATTGATTTCAAAAGGAGTACGAGGTGCAATCAACGTAAAAGAAAGTCACAGAGTCTCATTTTCGGGAGGGATAGACAACATTATGTCTATTCATGTATGTAATCGAGTTGCCTGAGAGAAAAAAACCTTCAGAAATGTCAAAATCAAAGAGCAAATTGCAAAGATCAGATCGCAGAAATTTGGAACATCAAACAGATCTTTCCAAAAAGATTATATTTTGAATTTTTCAAGATAGAGCTCAGTTTAGACAGTTAATTTTGATATGATACTTAGTTTTTCTTGTTTTTTGACCAAAAAGATGACAATTTTAAAAAAAAGATCTAGATGCTTTATAAAAGATCCCTTTCTTTCTTCCTATATAATCATGTGTAATCAATAAGAAACTATAAAAGGAACGAACACGCGCATGAAAAAATGCCATTGACTTCCTTTACCTAGAAAATTTTTTCTTTAACATTAAAAGACAGCTAACTCAGTCTGATTCTCTTGCTATATCTCAAAAATTCGAGCTTTATTTCAAAAACTGGGGCATGGTTCCACATCAAAGCTTGTTGTGAAACAAAAACGAATGACTGTTTTGCTACACATAGCACGAAGACGGCAGAATTTTCGGTAAGAGCTACTAATCTTCTTGCAGAAGTCCCGTATATACATTACCTCATTCTTGGAAATAAATTTACATACACAATGAGGTTAACGATTAACAACGCCTATTAGAAACCAGAGGCCAGTTGCACAGACGATGGTTCATACAACTGCACAGCTAATGCAGGGCGAAAAAAAGCGAACGAAAAGAAGAATGAGAACAAGGCTAATTTCAAAGGTAAACCTTTAAGACGGAAAAAATGATACTTTTCCCTTTTACAAAGTGTTACTTTCGAGAAAAAGTTTTGATGTCAATTTAGTCAATGATAGTCATTATCTAACAGAGAACGAGAGCAGACGATTTAGAAAAAAACTACCGCAAGAGTAGTAGTCTCTGTCTGTTGAAACAACATAATGCAACGCAAAACTCTTCAACCATGAAACTGAACACTGGCCCATGCTGGCCAACAAAAGCCAAATTTTCACTCTTAAGTATGCGCTCAAAGCTCAGAGTACATAAATATTAGAATTCTTTGCGACCTTACTGCTCAGCAGATTACTGGCAATGAGGATATTACTGGAATGGTCCAATTGAAAGGCGTCCCAGCAGTATAACCGCTAATTTTTCTTAAGTTTGTTTCATCTTTCTTTTGCATCTTCCGATTTTCCTGTTAATTCATCGCTTTTCTAAACTTCCATGTCTACGTAGTTAGTTTTTTTGCTGTTATCGAAGTACCATCTTGTTGTTGATTGTTGAGAGCACTGAAAAAAAATGAAAAGAGAACAAAAATCCTAAGAAAAAAGTGCAACTTTGGCACACCCTGACATGTAATCGCATAAAGAAAATCACTTTTACCTGTTAGATTTCTTGTCAAGGCAAAGAAAGGAAAGTCACTTAATAAATCGTGAGTAAATCTAAGTTCGTTAGTATTATCCAATCTACACAATAAGCGAAAATGATTTTTCACCAAAGAAATGAATAAATATGAATGAAACATGCGGATTAGCACAACTCGCCACTCCTCAGGGAGC